CGTACTTGAGATATTAAAAATATCTAAAATAAACCACTTAACTGTTAATTTTGCTTTGTAGCCAAATTTTGTTTATACCTTTTTTTCCTGGTCTCAAATGTCACTCTTTAAAGGGGGAAAAGAGGCACATGAGTATTCCCCCCAGAAGCAATCATAGTTAGGAGCATCCTCTGTTGCTGTCAAACAGTTTTTTTTTTTTTTTTTTAATGTCTGATTGATGCTGGTGATTTAGCACTGACAAATCTTTATACTACTATTTTAGTCATACATACAATATGAACGTACATGTTACATTCATATGTGGGAACACAGAAAAAGCTCTTATACAGTGTGTTAGCTATAAAAATAGGGCAAATGCTTTCAACAGTTCCAGAAGGGTCTAAAACTAATACTTTTTTCTTGACCCTGATTTTATTTCATTGTCTTATAACACATGAATATTTCTTCAATGTTAGCCACTTTTCTCAAAAGCACTGTTCCATGCTGCCACCAGAATTCACTCCTTTGAGAAGGACTCCTCAAAATACCAGGTTTTGTAATTCTTTCAAAAATTGTTGCACTATTTTTGCCTAAAGATCCAATCTGAATGTCTCTGCATAATACAGATCCTTGTTCAAATAGTTGCTCTTTAATCACAGAAATACAGCAGAAACAGAAAACTACTTGGCTGGTTTGCTCTGTGAAAACAGAAAGTCTGTGAGGAGCTCGTTGCAACATTACCCTGTGTAGAGAATCAAACTGTTACTAAAATTCTCCAGGATGTTTGAGGCAGCCTGAACTATGGATCAGGAAATCATCACCTCATGGAGTTTCTTGACAGGAGTTCATCGCTTTAAGAGCCTAGAATAGAGCGATGGTGGAGAGATTGTTTTGTACAGTGCAAAGGAGAAAGAGTAACTCAGTTCAAAACATGTACGGTTTTCTAGTGAGCATCAGTTTCAGGTGTGAATAATGTGCTGTGCAAGAGAGGAAAAGGATGTGATCTGTGCTGAGGTTTAGTTCACAGGGTAGGTTCTGTGATGCAGATCTTTCTACCTTGTGGCTGAGCGTACCTGTTACATTAAGTCACTTAACCCTTATCTAGCAATTGTATTTTTTTCTTGTTGACCAAAACCAGATCTTATGAAGTGCAACTTGAAGGATCAAAATAAATTATAAAACCTAAATTGTGAAGGGACTGGGTAGCCATTTTGGTGGTGGCAGCCATCTTGGGGCAGAATAGATTCAAAATAGCTGAATTTCCAGAAAAGATTAATATTTTTCAAATGTAATATTTTTGTCAATTGTCAGCCACTCTATTAGAATTAGAGGAAGGTTATAGCTATCTACCACGATATGATAAGTAACTGTAACAGGAAATAATTTCTGCTGCATGTTTCTTGCTTGCAACTCATGAAACCCCAGAGATTAAAAAAAAAGAAAAAAAAAAAAAGAAGAGCTACTATTAGAAACCCCATTTTATGGCCATGAGGTAAATCAAGAACATATAGTGCAGGAATGTCCACACTTGACACCTCACTCCAAGTTTAATACACAATGAAGTCCGGAAATTTTAAGCACTTTCACATAGAAAGAGACTTTAAAAACACACAAGCACATTGCCTTTAAGTAGGAGACCACCGAGCCTCACTTGGCACCTAAGCCAACTGCATTATTTGGGGATGAAGGTGCATATGTGATTTCCCCGCAAGAGATTTTTGTCACTTAGGACCTCATTACAGTGGCCACTGCTCATTTTTTGGACTTTGACCCTGAAGAAGCGCTAAGGTAGCGCTAGGAAGCACAAGGAAGAGGGAAGCTGATATTTGGTGAGGAAGGATGACAAGGATGTGTCGATTGCTCCAGCGCACATCGAAGTGGCACTCGATGTGGGACGAATGGGAAAGGGACCTGGTCACAAGGGAGGTGGAGAGTATAATTAGAAAACTTATCTTGGCAATTTTATTTTTCCCTGCTGAAGCCGAGTAAAGGCTGGAGCGACCAGAGAGCAGGACGACAGCAGAGTAAAGGCGCACGAACCCTCAAGGTTTAAATACAACCTCGGCAACAAGATTGATGAGCACAGCTCGTGGATTAGAAACGAGGGAAAACGACAGCAACCTTAGAGGCTGGAGACAGCACGTAGCGAGCAACAGGATGCGAGCCTGATGCGGAGCGAGCACTTTGCTGCTGGGATTTATGACATCCCCCCGTGCCAGGGGGAAGCCGCGGTGGATGCGAAGCAGCGAGGCAGAGGAAGCCGCCGGTGCGATGCCCTGAGGGAGGGCTGGCGGCGGTAAAGTTTGGGCGAGCAAAGGTCAGGCGGGCGGACGCGAGGCAGCAGCGCTGCGAGGTGACTCAGCCGGCCGAGACATCCGCCGGGAGCGGCGGGGCTGCCCCGCGGGCGTGGGCTGTCCCCAGCCTCCAGGGCTGATACATCCTCGTTTTCCCGACGTGTCACATCTGTGAGCCACGCAAGCCCACGGCATGATTTGGCAACGTGGGCGCGTTTGTGATTTATTTCCTCCGCGAGAGACTTGTCTTAGTCAGAACCCCCTTACAGTGGCCGCTGCTCATTTCTGCCCCTGAAGATGCGCTGAGGTAGCCACAAGGAAGAGGGGAGGTGATATTTGGTAAGGAAGGCTGGATGACGGCACTTGTGGAAGTAAGGGTACGGCTCCAGCGTATCTCGGAAGTGGCATGGGATGCGGTCACACGGGAAGGGCTAAGTACCCGCCAAGAAAACTTATCTTGGCAATTTCATTTTTCCCCGCGGAAGGTGGAGAAAGGCTGGAGTGACCTCCGGCGGCTGAGCTCCCGGGCCGGGGCAGCAACAAGCGGAGCGGCGGCGGGCACGGAAGACCCACTCCGGACATTCCCGCCCCTCGGGACCGTTAGGGCCGTTACGCCTCTCCCGCTCTCGGACCGATTCAAACTCGGCAGCGGCGCCGAGCGGGAGCGGGAGCGCGGCCCCTCCCGGTGCCCGCCAATCCTCTCGCCTGCCTCCCTGCGCTGTCCCCTCCCTCTGCCCCTCTCCACGTGAGGGGACCGGAGGGTTTCAGAGCCTCCGCGGCGCGGCGCGGCCCCGGGCCCTGCCCCGCCGCGCGGCGCGGGGGGGGCGGGCGCGCGGGGGGCGGGGGGCGGCAGGCGCGGGGGGAGCGCGAGCCCCCCGTCCCCCCGCGCGGGCAGCGCGAGAACAAAGAGTTCTCCCCACCCCTCCCTGCCCCCCCCGCACGTGGGGAGCGAGGCCGCGCCCCTCGCCCCGCCTCCCGCCGCGCTCGATTGGCCCGGCGGGGCCCCGGCCGCGTCCGTCCGGCCAATGGGGGCGGCGCTCGGCGCTCGCCAATGAGCGCGATGGCGATTGGGCCGGCGTGTTTGGCGCTCGGTCCGGGAGGGTGAATCCGGCAGCCGGAGGCGGAGGGAGGCAGAGCGGGAGCGCCGAGCGGAGCTGGCGGCGGCACCGGCGGGAGCGGCGGCGGCGCGGAGCCGGGGCGGCGGGGGGGCGGGTGAGTGAGCGGGAGAGCGAGCGACACCTCGCGGGCTTGAGGCGGCGGCGGCGCCGGGAGCGGCTATTTATACCCGGGTCCTTTGTCATGGGGGAGGGGAGGAGGGGAGGGGGCGGCAGGGAGGAAGGGAGGGGAGGATGGGGGCGGCGGCGGCTCCCGGGGAGCAGCCGCGTCCCCTTCCCGCGGGGCGCCGGCGGGCAGACACGCGGGCTCCCGGCTGGTGACAGCTGGAGGGGGGAGACATGGAGTCTGGAGTGCCCTTTGTCTAAGTTGGCTCCGTCCAGCCCGGCCGGCGGCTCCGATCCCCGCCCGGCGGGGCGCACACCCGGGCTGGGGGCGAGCTCGCCGTCACTCCTCCGAAGGGCGGGGGGCGGCGGGCGGGAGGCAGAACGGGGGGCAGACCCGGCGGCGATTCCCTTCCCTTCGTCTCGGCTCCAGCCGGCGGCACGCGGCGGCGGCGGCTCCGGCGCGGGCAGAGGGAGGTGTGCGTGTCTGTGTGTGTGCCCGTGTCTCTGTGTGTGTGAAATGAGGGGAAATCCGTGTGCCCGCTGTGGGCAGCGCGGCACGCAGCTCGTCCCTCTCCTCCCGGGAGGGAGGCTGGGACAGGTCCGCCCGGGCTCCCGGAAGCCGGGGCCGGCCGGGCGGGGAGGCTGAGCGCGCCCCAGGCGGGACGGCGGGGCTGGGCTGGGGGCTCCCGCCTCGGCTTTGGGGCGCCCCGGGCTTGGGGAGGGAGCTCGGGAGGGGCCGGGGGGGAGCTCAGTCTGGCGGCCGCTCCTGCCAACTTCCCTATCGTGGAGAACTCCGTGCGATCCCGATCTTACAGAGCGCCGCAAGAAAGTTCATCGATAGCTGGAAATTGTGGGGGTTCGGGTCCCATATCGCCAAGCACGGCGATACGGAGCGCTGTATAAAGCTAGGGTGTCTGGGGAGGTGCGAAAGAGAGTACCGGGCTGAGCCGTCCATGAGCAACAAATGTGTGGCTGGATAAAGAAATCGGTGTGTTGTGGCATCATGCACGTGTATTTAACATTACCAGGTCTTCGTGGTGATTGCAAAATTGTTATTAATACACGAAAGAAAGGCTGTGTGTGCGCAAATGTGTGGCAGGAATGGGACAACAGACTTGTACATTACTCGAGATACTTATTTCTAACTTACAAAACACCATACTGATTTTATTGGAGCAAGAGAAAAGTTTTTCATTTTTAAAGCTGGAAGTTCAGATTCTTGTTCTCTCTGATGAGAAGCATTTAACAGTTTGGAGACGCTAATTTAGTTCTAGCAGGATAGGTTTGTCTTTGCTTAAGTCTAGCAACTCTAGTTTCAGCTATTGTGAGTTTGGTTCTTACTAATACAGATTTCAGTGAAGAGTTTTTACCAGCACGTTTAGTGTAATCTTCACATCTAAGTGGGGATTTTTCTCAAAGAAAGGTTAATTTTTTTTAGGGTTGGCACATTCAGATTCTTTATCCAATTAATAAAAAATTAAAGGTCATTCTTTGTTTGTCCCCAGTGTCTATATCAAATTGAGAGTCCGGGGAATGTTTTTTTTGTGGTAACAATAAAGCATCTGCAGAAGGGTGAGTATTACTTGTACATAGTAGTATAACTAGTCTCACTTGTGATTATTAAAATGTGAATATTTGAAAGCTACTAAGTCTTTCAGAAAACACACTGCCAGTATTTTAGGAGATGTGACTCAAAAGTTTTCTGTGATGCGTTGAATATTTTTAAGAGCTAGTACTTTACAAAGTACTGGATAAAAAAGTCACATTTCTTGTTCAGGAGTTTCCTTTACAAGAAAAAAAAAAGGAAAAATATTTTTTTCCTTCCTCCGCCTCCATGAGAAATGAAAGTAACAATTAAAGTTAAACAACCTGTGCAGAAATCTGTGACAGTATAATGTTCCATGAGATGCCAACTGCTATTTTTGTCTGGAACTTTGGAAGGATTCAAGACTTAAATTTAGAAGGAAAATTGGGAAAAACTTTTGGGTTCTTTCATAGATTTTTTAATATGTAATTTCACCTTGAAAAGTGGCAGACGCTGGAAATCTGCACCTTCAAATAGTCTTAAAATGTCACTGCTCAGTTTAAAATGAGCTGAAGTGGTGGTGTGTAAGCTTAGGCCAGAGACTTGAAATTCAAGCTCAACTTTTTTCCCCCCTGCTGTGTTTTTTTCCTTTCTTCCTAAAACTGCCAACAGGCTGAAATATGGTGATTTCTTTGAAGACATGCTTTCAAATTGGTTTTTGTTTGTTCTGTAACATTGCAACCTTCATAGGTGAGATGTATATGTTCCTGTGCTATTTCTTACCTGCAAAGAAACTTTGGCTTAGGGAGAAGGGAATTTTAGTGTATTAATTGTATGCATGGGCTGTATTAGATATGGAGAGAGTGCAAGGCCCTTTCTGTAAAAAAGCTTGTGTCAGAATTAACTACATCCAGAATCCAGTGCAGGCCAACAGTGCTCCCAGGAAAGTTGGTGCACTCTAAAATTCCTCTTGCAATTAGTCAAAAGAAGTGCTCTGTCACCATTCACGAGACAGTTCAGCTTCTGTAGCTGTATAGATCATGGATGCATTTTAGTAAGTTCACAGCTGTAATGGTAAAACTGAATAACAATTTTAGGTGATAGTTCTATATTCATGTGATTGAACAGTGAGAGTTGTTTTTAAAAATGGCTGCAATACTGACAGAAGGCACATTTAATAAATGTCTGCTTTACATTGTCTTTGAGGACAAGTGCTGTGGAAAAACTTTAGTGTTGGCTGTAATTTGGAAGTTCTGTAATTCCACTGTTAATACCTACAGATGGATCTTAGGTGACTTGAGGAAAAGTGTCTGTGAAGCTTTAGGGAGAATAACATTTTCCCCAGCAGGGATGCTGAAAATCTCAGGAACAGAACCAGAACCTGGCCTTTACTAAGCAAGGAAGTTCACTGAATCGATAAAGTAATTTTGGCAGTATTACTTATCCAAGCAAAATTCACTTTACCAGATTTTTTAAAGTGAAGGAAATGGGCTGCATACTGTAAATACAATTCCTAATGATTTGATGGAGGCGTTTGCGTAACACTTACATTAACAAACGAGCCCACTGTTAACAGGAGCTGTAGGACACTAACAGGAGGTTTATTTTAAAGTTGAAGCTGCTTCCAGCCTTCTGTTCCTTCCGTCAGCAGGGTCCATGGAGAGCTGTGCTGGGCCTGTTGAAGTGGTGTCTGATTGAAGACAGCATCTGTAAATGTATCTATCTATAAATGTATCTACACATTTAACACCTAAGTGTATGACTTGTACAACTGTTCTGGAGTGGCTAAGTCAGTCTTTAAATGGATGAGTTACTCCTGCACTGACATAGCTACTTTAACTAAAATTATTCCTTAAACTATGTCTGAGAGGGGAAGAGTGAGGCAAACTAAAATCTTGTATAAAATGTACCCAAACCAGCAAAATCTTGTAATAAGTTGTATGCAGAAGAGAGAGGGGTGCTTCACAGGGGAATGGTGACAACACTTGTTACAAGTTAGTCAAATGCTCAGGTTTATTTTTTAGCTGAGTATATGCCCAAGGGTTTTGTTGAGCTAAAGATTAAAAGGAAAACAATGTACAGAATTACTAAGCAGGTATTCTATCTGTTCTCACAGAGATCAGTTAAAGACTTTGGGATGATAGTGTGTAGATCTATTTATGGATGAGGTGAAACTAAAAATAAAATTTATTGAGGGACGGTTCTATTTCCCTCCAAGCAAGAAACACAGAAGTTTTCTAAAACATGCTGCTTTCTGTAACTGATAGTAATAGGCAGTTTGGTTATACACCTAGATTTCCACTAAGATGGGTCAGGCTGTGGACTTGGTTCTGAATTAAAAGGTAAAGTAACATTACTAAACTTGAGTAGAGGCAACTATTAAGAAGAAGAGTGAAAGGTGTAATTTGCATACAAAATTGACAAATTAAGCTTTCTTAAAAATACTTCAAAAGAAAGGAATTTTTAAATATATAATAAATATTTAGCCACAGGTTTGTAAATGGATTGTAATTTAAAAATATTGGGAGAGAAGAGGATATCTATGAATGCCCTTGCTGTGTCCACAGAAAAAACCACCAACCAACCAAACAGCACTCGCTCTCAAATTAGTGTGGATCATGCTCTTATTTAAGAAAGCTTTTGGCTACCTGGCTGAAGCTTGGACATATGATTTTTCATTTATTGTGCCTCTGCTCTGTTTGTAAAAACTGCTGTTGACTTGGAATGATTTATAATGCATTCTCTGCTTCCTATCTAGTGGTAAAATCAGTAGTATTCTTAAAGTAAGAAGGCCATTTGGACATTTAGATACATACTGTGCGTGATCTGAATGCTGTGGATAAAAATAACAGTGTAATGATGTGAGGGGATCAGCATAGTGTTGTCATTTGCTTGAAAATGTGATGTAGTACTTCCAAAGCTTCTAATTGGGATATATATATGGTTTCATTAGCAAATGAGGTAAAACTGGTGTCTTACTGTGTGCAAATAAAGACTTCCTTGATACACAATTACAGAATACTGCAGAATTTGCTATTAGTTTTCTTTTTTTGTATATACATATGGTGCCTGCTTGAATAACATTGTATGTGTAATTATGCTAGCAAAGTAGTACAAATTGCAGTTCACATCCTAAGCTTTTTTGGATGTGAACTGAAAATAAATCTGTACAGGAGGGTATGATTTCTTTATATTTTTAAATTGTTTTTTGATCTAGAACCAGGCCTATTTCCCTTGTCAGTTATTTGTTGTATCTGGCTCCTTTCCATTCTGCCTTTTACATGGTTAGTTCAGTTTTTCCTGACATGCATTCTCTATTCACAGCCTGCATGTTCGGTTTAAATCCCAAAGCCATCAGATGTAATTTAAAGAAACAAAGCGTTTGAAAGGAAGGAAACTCAAATCTTATAACCCATATATAATTTTAATTTTTTTTAGTGTGTGCTGGTTTCCTTTCCGTGTTTCTTAGCATGAGTGGATCTGGCAAGCTTTATATTTTTGGTGTGTAGTCTGATTTCGTTTTTACTAATAAGAAAAAATTCCAGAGCTGGAATTAATTTTGCTGCTTCTGTAAGAAGTCGTATGGATGTGTGTTATAGATACTTGATTTACCCGTGGAACTGTACCATGGCAAATTACGGGATTGAAGTCTGTATTGTAGTCTCCTTTTTAGTGTTACAGTATATAACCAGGACAGTGTAAATTGTGTCCTTTGTGATAACTTCTTCCTGTTGTATGACTAGTTTGTGCCACGTTTCTAGTGAGTATTTATTGCCAATGTGTTTAGTGCAAAGCTAAATCCAGTATTAGAGGAAGAGGTCGACATACATTGTTTTATTCTTAACCTAGTTTAACCATTCATGGTGGTTAAACTATGTTAAGAATAAAACAATGTATGTACATGGTTGCTTTGAAGTGGGGAGATATAAGGTCCCAAGACCTTATTTAGTATTTGCAGTTCTCTTCCACAGCCTAAGGGAGATGTTTTCTTTTTCACTGAAGGGTGGTAGAATTTTTGGGGGTTGCATGTTGGGTTTTTTTTTTTCTTTTACCTTTTTTCTGTGTTTTTTTTCCAAGATAAACCGTTTCTAATTAGTTTTCTGTATTAAGTCAAGCTTCTGGAAAAGCAGTATCTGTATATGTGGTTTTTTTTTCCTTTTTAAGCAACATCTAATATAATGTGCAGGTGGATTTATTGCTGTATACCTTACAGAATAAGGATGCTATACGTTAGACCCAGTTATTTTGTGAATTTTTAAATTATTGTTTTTAAAATAACTCTTGTGGTTACTTTCATTATTTGAAACTCATTTTGGAATTATTCAGGCAAATGGCAAATACCAGTTCAGCTTCAGTTTGCCACACTGCTCTACAGTAAATTCTGCATACATGGAAGTGTAATGTCTTTCAAAGTTGAGCTTTTAGGCTATTTGCCTAAGCAGGGAAGGAGTATGGAATAACTATTGAACCTGAATTGTTGTGATTCAGGATTTTTCCTGTGTGGAGTGTGTGTTGCTTTTGCAAGTATGGGTTGAACAGAAGAACCTATGGCTATTTTAGTTTTTAGAGTATAAAAGGTGTGTCCACAAAACAAGTTCAGGTGGAATAGACTATGCTCTTCAAATTCTCATCATAAATTATTTTGCCTGTGGAGACATGTCTTAAGTGTTCCTAGCAAGTGTTACTTTTTCTGCCAGATTTATCCAGGATATCAAAAAGCTAAATTTTTAAGAGTTGGAGGTGTTAGGCAATAGAGGTTAATTGGAATGTGTGTGGGAGTCATCTAACTCCTCTGGGTGTCTGTGAATGAGTGTGAAAAGAGTAATTCTGGAGGTATGCATTTGAGCAACTCAAAGGTGTAGCTCAAGCTTGATGCATAAAACTCTTTCTTCTGACAATTAGCCAGGCTTGGTTTGCTGTGAGGAACGTGGGATGGTTTTAATTGTGACTTGTAAAAAGTATGATCAAATTTGGGCTTGAAACTTTTTGTTGCTGCGGTGCTACTTGGAGTTTTAAAATGTTTTATTTGTTTTTTGAGCCAAATAAT